TTTTTTTATGAAAGTTACACTTGTTATAATTACAATCTTCTCCACAGTGTCCTCTCTGCCCAAAACGTGAGAAATCACGGAAACTCCTGGCAATCCACGAGTACAAATACCACAAAAGAAATCGGTACAGATATCTGTGCCCCATCTGCGAAGACTCCTTCACGAGGCCAGGGAACGTGAGGCAGCACCTCGCCAGGAGTCATGGTGTGCCCAGGGAAGACCAGGGTGTTATTGACAAAATTGAGATTGCTACGTGATTTTATTTAAAGTTCGAGATTTTCAATACAGCCCTCTGAATGAGAAAGGGCACAAGTAACATTTTATCTATATGAAGAATTGACTTACAAATAAATGGACGACGGGTCTAATACAAAAACCACGAAAAAAATGTCCCAAGTCAACCTATTTAAACGTAGTGACATGTAAAGGAATATGAAAAAGCTAAAACGTTGAATTTAAATTGTAATGTCATCGCAGTACTGTCTAATTTTGCTTGCTTCGCTGTCAGTCGAACAAACGAAGACTAGAGCGTGAATGACGCTCTGTATACGATTTTAACGCCCTATAAGTTCGGACACGTTTTAGCGCGGACCCGACGTCCATATAATTGTAAGTCAATGATATGAAGGGAAATTTTAAATGTCCCTCTTTCGATTGTGTATCGAATCGAAGAACATTTTATCGTAAAGGACATTTGTCCTAACGACAAAATGTCAAATTTCAAATTTCGACTCGATATTCGGGATCAGGAAATAAAGGACAATCTAACAATTTTTTTGTGGAAATATATCTCAATAAGTGTTGAACATACAGCAAGCTCAAAGGGCATAACTGATTTTAATAATCCCATTTTTTTACTATACAAAAAGTCGAGTTAAATATTAAGTTACATTTAAATTAATTATGCCCTGTTAATGCAGCTGTTATTCGACTAAGTTAAAAGACAAAATTAAGGTATTTTCAAAAACGGCTGATTAAATTACAATGAGTTTCTGTATAAAACGTGTGGTTATGTATTTATAACATAAATAAACCACTTAATATAAAATGTGTATTTTAACTATTCTCTTTATCAGAAAACTCTAAAAAAAATAATTATACACATTTATCTACGAATTTAGAATGCTCTGCATGCCGTTAGCTAAAAGAGCCTGCATATGACAAAACTTTCCTAACTAAGCACTAGTTCTATTAATGTTGAAACATAATAGTAATAGAACTACTTGGCATTGCGACGGAAACTGCGTGAAAGACGCGCCACTGGTTTTTTGGTTCGAATCTAGTTTATACGTTCTGCTATTGTTACATTAGCTTCCATTACATTCCGCAGCAATGTGAATAGATCTTTAGTGATTTTTTCTGTAAGAGTTAGTTTTTTTTAATAATTATGTAATTTGTAAATATACATGTAGGATGACAACACTATTAGTGCGAGCGAGAGAGCATGTCTGAGAGATTTTACGTGTTCGAAAAATTGTCGTGAATTCGCTTTCGTTTTGAGATCTCCATTTTTTAGCAACAGTAAAACGCCTTGTGAAGGAGTTTGTCCAGGGTAGTTTTGCCACTACCTATTTCTGCCGCCGAGCAGTAATGTCAGCAATACTGTGTTCCGATTTTGAAGGGTAAGGGTTAGGGTGACGGTGTCTCTTACCATCAGGCGTACGACTGGCTCGGCCCGTCACTTACTTTTTATATAAAAAAAACAACCCATATGCATATTTAATAATAGTAGGAAATAATAAAAAAAAATAAAACAGAAACAAGTTTTTATTCTTTTTTTAATATAAATTTGTAATTTTAATTTATTATATATCTAATTATTATGCTATATAGACATAACTTTGTGATATTTTGAGATTTTTCGCATGCTGAACTTTAGAGTACTCTGCCCTTCTTATCGTAAACGTGGGCCAAGAAGACTGCTAATCTTCTACTACAGATCGTAACTATGAAAATGGTCAAAATCCTGTTATATCAAATTGACGCTGATCGATAATATCCTGGAAGTAATTTATATAATGTAAATGGCCGTGGTTATAAATTAATACCTCTTTGATATGAAAATTACAAGTAGCCAGTTTCTTTTCGTAAAATAACTTCAAATATTGACCATGAGCTAAAATTATATCCGTATCAATAGATGGCATTGCATGTTTACACTATCCATAAAAATCTGTGCAATAAGCCATCTTGTTGATTCATTTGTTATCACTAAGACATTAGAGTAGTGTCTTTTGGAGATGGAGTAAAATTACAGTTAATTGGGCAAGTGTTGTCCGCTTAATTAAGCAGCTAGTGATTGCAGTCGATAAATATTTTATCGACTATCGATTGAATGTTGCTCACGCTTATAAGCGTAAATGCAACGAGTTGCCGAACTTGTTTCATATGAATCATCATCGACCCACTATTCGCCCAACTGCTGGGCACCCGTTCGTTTGAATCGACAATTTTTGACGACCATACATACACTGCATTTAGAATCGTATCTATTAAAAAAGAAAGAGGAGACATATTTTTAAATCTTTCTTTTTAATTCAATATAGATAATTAAATCCGCATTGTCTTTGTTAAAATGCGTATGAATAAAAATGTCTTTTCATACTAGTACGCCAGCTGTCAAAATAAGAATGAAGAATTAGAATGTCATAACATTCACTATACAGACATTTTGCGCATTCTTTCGCAATCTATCGATTTAAAATTTTATGAAAACTGGCAACCCTACAAATGTCATTTCACTCCGTCTTCAAAAACATAATAGCTTCTACAAATTGCAGCTCGTCAATGTGAAACAAATTAGTTGCAAAAATAGCTATTTGGTACTAGTCGCGACATCTGGTGTACCAATTGGTACTAAATACCAGATCGCACTGTGATTGACAGTCCTTTTGAATTTTTGGCCCATGTCGTAACGTAATCGACATTTTTATCTATATTGACTTGTTAACATATTCTGAAATCAGCGGACGGAGATCTACAACACTCTATCTTATTTAGTTTCAGTGTAAGGCTGTCTTTCCACCAGAGACTGCACGTCTCGCTCGGTTGCGAGGATGCGTTACACTCTTTTCAGCTATGCGCGGGCGAGGTACGGTAATATATGATGGGATAAGCGGTGGCGATGTGGCATTGTCAGTTAATGTTATACTTTCAGTAGCTCTGGTTTCCTACACCGTTTTCCTCGCCCGCATGCCTCGCACACATCTCTCGCCATTTTGTACGAACAAATGCTTAGCTTTGCTAACCCTTTTCCACCGGAGCTGCGCTAAGCGAGGCTAGGACAATGAAGCAATCCTATTAGTGGATTTTTTCCTCGCACATCTCTGGTGGCAAGGCAGCCAAATGGCAAGTTAAAGTCCATACAACCTCAAACGCTTGTGATTCATTCCGCATACTGCCGTCCACTAACTAAAACGCACTTAAATACCAAAGGATAGAGCACAAATATCTCTTTTAAAAACAGTTAAAATTAGTTAACGTACAGCTGAAATAACATTAAACAATTTTAATATTCCAAAACTGGGTTATGGTGTTTTTTGATATCTCAAAAAATTATTTACTCACTTAGCCACGTTTTAATTGGTGCACGGCAGGATAACAGCGATATATAGGAAAATAGAGGTCATACTGATTACTATACGACGTGAAAACACGATACTCAATACGTACTTTACATATACCAATGATTTTTTTTTATATCAACGTGTACGATATATATTTTTCAAATGGATTTAATTCCGTTTGTAAAAAAATAAATGCCGCTCGACCCAAGCAAAATAAACCTTATTAGTGCGGGAAAAAGATTAATTCGAGCTGACGTAGTATTCTTAAACAAAATCAACGCAATTGACATTTAAATAAAAACTTTAGGTGTCAATACATCAAAAGTTACATAAATGCAAATGCTTTGTTTACGACAAGGACAGGGCAGTACAGATCTCCTCGTATTTAGATCAACAATTATATAACAGATTAATACTGCACATTCTTAAAAAAAACGCGGAGACGTGTTCCAGCTGGGGTGTACTACGAAAGTTTGAATGCGCGATAGTTTATTTGCGCGAACGACGATAGCACGAAGACAGATTTGCGAAAGCTGGAAGGCAAGTTAATTGTTGCAGATACTCCCTAATAAACTTTTACAAAAATAAACGTATAGTTTATCATGAAAGCTTTGCATTGTAAAGAATTGCAACAACCTGCAGCCGTGGGAGTCTAAACTGTTTTCGTGCTATAGTCATTCGCGCAAATGAACTATCGCTCATTCAAACATTCGCGCGAATGAACTATCGCGCAACCGTCTTCGCACTATCGTCATTCGCACTCACGTAGTACACCCGTCCAGCAGCGAGTTACACGAGATTCTTATGCAATTTATGCAAATTACATATAAAATTTATATGAAGAACTTTATGGCAATTCTTTGTGAAGGTCCATAACCACCAGTGGACCATAATTATATATCAATGTGTAACGGAAACGATGCAATAACACTTTAGGGACTTCTTTGTGTCATGAACAGAGATGGGATGATTATCTACTAAGAATGCATATCGATTTTTGTGAAAGTCGATTCAAGTAAACTATCTAACGATTTTTTGTATCGATTTATTTCAATTAAATTTTCAAGCGAATCGTTAAAGGCGTTAAAGGTTTTAATCGGATTTAAACCCGGCTTTAACAAAACGCCGGGTTAAAACCCGGGCGCTTATCCATCTCTGGTCATAAATGTTTAAAAATGCTAATTACTGCAGCCTCCTCCTTTTTACTGTTTTCAGGAGCTCCAACCCTTAGTGCATCCTCCGCAATACGTTGTCATTGGTGACTCTATCCGTCCACGATATTTTCAAAATTCTTCGATAAACCCACATTTTAAAGAATGGAAAATATGTATTACCGCACTAAACGGCATCTTGTCGATAGTTTGAGACTGCGATTGCAAAATTCATTTAAATTTTTATAAATAAAATATATTATAAATATCCACATACGGGATTTTTATTTTTAAACGCATTCCTAAGTGTTATTGCAACTTTCTGTTACCGCATTAAACTAAATCTCAGACTAATTTCACTAAACAATATCTTTGGTAACATCCGACAAGTTATTTGGGCATCAATGTCGGTGTAATACTGCAACGAACTTCAATAGTAACTTGCCAACATTTTATCTTTTAATAATTCGTGAAGTTAGGAACGAAGCGTTTGTAGCTTCGACTGCTGCTGTCTTCGAACAGGCTTTTTACGAAGAATACCTGGAAAGAATACAATTTTGCTTGTGATATTTTTTAGCATATAACGAAGAAAGTTTTTTAAAATCTTTATACAACTTGAGCCCAAAGATATAAGAACAGGCGTTTGTCACCTTTTCTATCAAAACAAGGAAAAATTACTGACATATGAAGAGGCTGTATGTTGGAACCTTTGCCTACCCAAATAAATGGCGGAAATTTATTAAAAAATATTACGAAAATATTTACAATTTTGATTTCGCTATAACTTCGTTATGATAGAGGTACAATTTTTTTAAGAACAAGTACTAAATAGTACAATTTTGGTACCAAATATGTCAGGATTTGTTAAGATGCACACGGCACTCTGAAATCTCAACATATTTTGTCTTATTTCTCAGAAATGAACCAGCAGATCGAGCTGGAGATTCCTTTACTTCAGAGTGCTACTGAGGTACAATAAGTTTTTATAATTATTAACTTAGAATAATAACGCATAGAATGATAGTTTCATATCAAACGAACTGTCACAAGTGAGGCACAAATCAAATTCATGTAGGCTAGTTTTAGTAGTACCTAGGTTAATTTTCGGTTTTAGTGAATATTTACATAAAAATACAAGTTGAAACGCGTTACTTCCTTGTGGAATGTGATGTTAGTATCTATTTTATGTTTGTCTGACGTATTTTTACACTCATTTCGTCATTTTTAGCTAAAATTCTTGATCCGTTCGCGTTGCAAGTTGACCTTGAGCATTGAAGTCCCGCCCGCTCGTGTAGGCCCTTTGGGAGCGCTTCAATTTGCCCCACTTAGCGTGTGCGGACTAGATTTCTATGCGTTATTAGTCTAAGGTTATTAAATAAATACTGGTAGTGCGAGGTACACCCGCCATGTTGACATGACGGCGGATGCACCTTTGATAATGCTATAACTTCGTTCCGATGGAGGTACATTTTTTTGATACCAAATTTGTCAGGATCCGTTAAGGTACACCCGCCATTCTGACTCTCACCCAAATTAACCCTCTTGATAAGAAATTTAAAATAATTAGACAGTTTTACCATCTCCTAAATAATCAGTCTCAGATACGAGTTTTAGAAAATAAGCCATTGATATGGCAATGTCTATGCTTCAAATAGTAGATCCAGATTTTAAACTGCCTCTGTGGCCGAACGGTTGCCATGCTGGTCTGCCACGCAGAAGTCCCGGGTTCGATCTCCGAGAAATATTTGTATGACCTACATTTATTTCTCTCGTGAGTTTGGATGTAATTTGTTGTCTATTGTATCAATGGCACCCGCGACACGGGGTTTCAAAAATAAATCTAATCGTACGGCACCCTGAGGAACTATCGCCCGGTGCTCGGGAGAGAAGCCTTCTAAGACCACTTGAATCGAACGTGCACTCAAGAAATCCGAAATCCAATTGCAAAGGTCAGTGGGAAAGCTTGCTTAAAAGGCTTGCGTGCCAGACCCTGTCAAAGGCTTTAGAAATGTCTGAAGACACTGCAAGGGCTTCGCCATGTCTTTCTATACCCTCGCTCCATGGATGAGAGGCGTACACAAAATCCCCAGTAGATCGCCCTCGTAAGTTCTCTGTAAGGCTAGGTGAGCCGCCCCGGGTGCACGTACAGCACCCTCCCTATTTTCCAGATACTCTCTAAGCCGACTACCAAATCTCCTCATTGGTGGCGGAGCTGTAGCTCCGATGAGGAGAAAACCGGCGTCTCTCCAGTTCCCAATAACCTAAGCGGCTGGAGGGACTGCAGGATGTCTAGTCTGTGTTGTAATGAATAAAGTGTATTAAATAAATAATAACTAGTATGTCGGTTTACCTGTGTAATTCCAACTAAGAGCATTAAAACTATTTGCCATAGAGACCAGGTCAGCACTCTGAAACAAAAAACATTTCGAACATAATTTACCCCGTCCCGTACCGTTTTATCCAGTCACTTTATATAATTATAATTTGACTGCCTCCGTGGCCGAACGGTTACCATGCCGGACTGCCACGCAGAGGTCCCAGGTTCGATTCCCGGGCCGGCAGAAATATTTATATGGCCTACATTTATTTCTCTCGTGAGTTTGGGTGTAATTTGTGGTTGTCTATGTGTGTGTCCATAGCATCCGCGACACAGGGTTTCTCTAGTGCGGGGTTATGTTGAGTGTGTGCGTTATTATTATATTTATTAATAAAAAAAAATGCGTTTTTATTGAATCGATTCGCATCGGAATAAATCGATACAAAAAAAATCGTTACGTCGCATGCACTTGAATCGATTTTTATTAAAATCGTAATCGAATGTGCATAATTAGTAGTGAGAAGCCATACCAGTCTAAAAAAGATTTTTTACACCGAAATTTGTAATAAGTATGGCATTATATCAAATTTCGTATTCACCGTTTCCGTCCACGATTTTGGGCAGAAATGGATTAAAGCTTTGATTAAAAATCCGGTTAAAACACGGGCGGGTTGATTGGGTTTTAATCCACTACTCATCTCTGGGCTAATATAGTACAATCATCGTCCAGGACCCTCTAAACCCTCTTAGGAGAACCGTGCTCAGCAGCGGGACATAATGGTATGATAATTTTGAAGTAATAATTTAGATAAGTTCACTACTGTGAATATATTCTAAGACTTTATAACAGAAAATAAATTAAAAGAAATATATTACACTTCCGGACACGTAATTCGTACCATCACGCATTTTGAGTACTAAGCGCCCTAAGCTTAAACAACGTTTGATTGGTCAAAAACTGTTATGCAATTTTGAAACTAGTATACTAAACGTCTTTTCAATAAGTCCTTGTTGGGAATTTGGATTTGCAAAACCGGGGGAAAACTTTTTCTTCGATGAAATCACTGTTTTTGTATTCTAGCCCTTTACGACAAAAGTGGCTGGAATTACGTGTCCGAGAGTATATTATTATTATAATGAAAGGCCTGTCTAGCTGTTGTTAGCGAAATTCTTACCTGGCACACATCTCTTCGGCTAAATTCCTATCTCTAGCCTCATGAGCTGAATGTAGCTCCTGAAGTCTCCTGGCTGCGGAGATATTGTCTTTCACCTTGGTGACTGAGTTTGATATATCCAAGACCCTCATCATGTAGCTTTCCCCTGACGTACCTGAGGAAAGGTTATTAAGATTTTATATTTAAGGTATTTCAATATCGCACTTAAAATAAGCATCTTATTTAATGATATTTTTGGGAATACGAGTAATTCTAAAAGAAAGACTTGATTTGGGAACCATTCAAAATTAAATTGGCTGTTAGTCTAATAAACATTGATACTTAATTAAATAACCCAAATCTATGTACAAACGGCACATCAAGCTATACAGTGACGGATCTTGTTCCGTTGCATGAATGCGATATTCCAACAAAAGTATTGTTACGGACGGCCGTGCGCGCCTGGCCGGTCAGAGCTAGAATTCAGAAGTGAATGAATAATTCAGGAGCTCTGATTGGCCGAGCGGCGTAGCGACCCATTGATAGGACCGGTACGGTGTGGGAGACACCGTACCGGTATAAATATAAGCGAATTTCAGTTTGATTATTCATTCACAATTGAGATCTCATGTTATTCACATATCAGATTTCTTGTAAGTCAGATCGACATTTGAATGAATATACAGTCCACTTCAGATTAAGGAAGTTTGATTTTACAATAAGGATATCGAAGGAAGAATAAAGAAGGCAGTGTCAAGTTTGCTGAAACCCCTGAGTAATAAGTATATAGCTTGTTTTGCTGTTGACTGTACATACTATATTTTATTTATAAGAATACTTTTGCGAACAGCTTGACCAACACGCCCAACAAGATATTGGATGTTGCTTATAATAATTACAACAATAAAAGTAAAAAAAACACAAAATATTACTAACAACAAATTGTAGTTTGGATCGAACGTACGTTGTACAGCTACACAGCAACATTGGGGGTCAAGGAATTAAGACGCTGCTTTTATTATTATTATATACATAGAAATGTCTAACATATTTATCCAAGTCCATCTTATCTATACAACAGTAAACATGACAAAGCTATCTATAACATAATATTGTACATAGAAATTGTAACATTTCAATATGAGTGTGTTTCAAAGTCAAATTCAAAGAATAAATTAATCCATAAGAAAAATAAATTTACACTTGAAAACGTCACATTTAAGCTACTGCTCGTTCACTACGCTGACTTCCCTGAGAAGAACGAGCAAGAAGCTCTAGGGATTGCTCTTTTCAAATAAACTTAAATGCTATGGAATACACTTTGACTCAAATTAGTGTGGAATCTAGAGCCATGTCTTTCCATACATCTTTATCTAACACATGGTCTTCAATTTTGTAATATGACTAATCAATCAAATTATTTTTAATGTAGTTCTTAAACTTAGAAAGTGATAATCATAATATATACTCTGGAATCATATTGTAAAAACGTATAACTCAGTTCCCCATAAAAGAGTCGTTTACCTTGATTAAATGAAATCGTGAGTTTAATATTATGGATATCTTCTTTCTTATTCGATGATTTTGGCAAGGACACTGAGCGGGAATTTCCTTGAATTTATAGTTATGTTTTATGTAATAGGTTGGTTGTTCTTTATTATATTTTCTATTTTTGAGAATATGTCTTTGGCTCTTGGTTGTTTTAAGCTGTGGGCCTTCCTTTTAGATAAATAAAGTAACATACTAAGCTTATCTACCTCAGTCTATTTCTCTCCACGTTCTACAACATACTATTATGTACATATAAACAACTCTATCTATAAACATAAACAAGCAAGTCGCAATATACATTGTAAAGAGAAATGTTTAACATTCTTATCTGATTCCATTTTATCATATTCAGATTCATTTATTTCTCAAATATAACATTACAGTATAAATTGCACTACGTGTCAATGTATGGGAAATTATATTGAGATCGCCTGACAAAAAGGAAAATTATAAGAAAAGCACACAATAATTAGAAAATTAACAATTCATTATATAATATTGTTGTCATTAAATTATATATCAAATATCATTCTCCATCACGGATCGTCATAAGTTGATAACAGTTATACAAGAGTATGTTAATGCGGTAAAAATTAGAATAAAAATAGAAAATACTGCATTCGTTACAATTTAAAGTACATAAATTCTTTTACGGAGTATATAGGATTTTTCAAGAAATGGTCTTTCAGCCGGCGCCCAAATATTTCGTCAGACGGTTCAAGTCTGAGAGTAGCGGGTAAACGCTCATAGTAAGTAGGTCCGATGACACGCGGGTTTTTCTCTGCAAGTGCCATGCGTCGAGGGACTGTTCTCAAATGACCGGTACGGCGAAGTGGGATGCCAGAAACATTTACAGTACCAAATGAAGACAGATTATTTCTAACATACATTATAATTTCGTATAAGTAGAGTGAGTAGTGCGTCATTATGCGTTGCGCTACAAAGAGATTTCTGCAGGAATGTCTGTGTTTTACCCCAACTATCTAAACAACATTGAACACAACAATCTATAAGGTACGTTGTAGAAAAAAGTAAGTGCATGTCATTATGTTATACAACATTTACCTAACAACTGAGAGGATCTGTCATACAAGAATATAGACATACATGCGCCATGGGCTATTACCGCAACATCGAAGTAAAAATAACTGTAACTAGAATTTTTCCCCGTCTGTCTTGATATCGTCACATTCGACAGTGTGTATACATAAACAAACATAAACAGTCTATCTACATGTTTAGGTGAATCTCATCTCTAAAATACAACATGTGAAACCAACAAATCTATCTACAACAGACATGTAGTAGATAGAAATGTCACATACTGATCTCACCTAACTCCATCTCCTTGTCGTCATCATAATCCAGCTCGGGGGGATCTTCGGATTCGATCACCAGGTCGAAGAATACCTGGAAAACAAATGTTTAAATAATCGAATCGAACCCGGGACCTCAAAGATGGCGACACCATGAAAACCGGCGTGCAAGCCACTCGGCCACGGATATCGTCAAACGTCAACTTTATTTCAAGAATGCACCCATAATTACAAGAAAGGCAAAATTCATAATTAAAAATCCAAATAAAATGTAAAAAACATACTTTTATATAAATTTTCATAAAAAATATCTAAATTAAAAAAAAATATTGTTCTCTTTTGCTGGGCGATATTAAAGGGGTTTTTTTCAAAAGTTAACAGACCGCTATCATTTAGACAGTAAAAATTAATTTA